CAGACCTCTGATGGTGTACTGGAAACTGAAACAGGTCTCGTGCTGTTTGTGAAAAAGTTGTCTTGGAAAAAGTGGAAGACAGTTTTTAAATAAATCATAGTTTTCACTTGTAACTGGGTATAAGTTTGACTGGGCCGTTTCTGCAGTGTTGAGGAGCCAGCTGAGATCATTCACGCAGTTAAAGTGAAGTTGTGATTTCAGTCCCTGAAATTAAAACCGTTCTTAAATAAGTGTGCACCATATTACTGTTTAATGCTAGGGTACTATGATTTTTCAGCACTAGTGCAAGGCTGTAAGTTCTGCTTCTTTTCAGGAAGCTTTTCCTTCCAAAACTTGAAGTAGGGTTTCCATTGTGCGTAGCTAAAAAGAAAAGTTTCAAATGTCAAGTACTAAACCACGCGCAGTTCCTCACATTGCCACCCCGTGAGCAAAACACAACAGTCCATAGCAAAACGCATAATGGTGGAAGGTGAAGCCTAGATGGACAACAGGTCATTACTGATATATTATTAATCCTCTTTTACAATTGCTAAGAGACTTCTAGTGTAGCAGCGCAAAAAAAAAAGAAAATATGTGTCAGCATCTGGCAAAGGTTTAGCATCTGCTTATGTTCTGCCACAGGAGGGCAGCAGCTGCCAGGCTGACAAGCGGCAAGGCAGCATCCCCAAAACGTTTGCACATTTCTTTAAAGAGTATCTACTTTTTTTTTTTTTTAGCCACTTACACTTGGTTTTTTTGCCATCCTAAGAGAAGCGCAGAAGAGCGACAGTTTATCTAGGAGTCCCTCGTGTTGTCTCAGCGTGGCTCCTGGTTGATGGCACCGCTGCTAGCAAGGCTGTATTACAGTCAGCCAACAGGCGGGCAGCAGGGCAGAAATGCTGGCAATACCACATCAGTGCTTGCTGGCTTTGTAGCTGTCTGCAAAGGAACTGGAGAATTCTCTGGGGTTTGCGGTATGCCCACACTGTCTGGCCTACTCTACACGCCGTTCAGGTTTGGGGACACTTCTATAAATACATTGTGGCTAGAGTAAAAGCTTCAAGATACACAGTGCACACTTCCCTCCCAAAGAACCTGGTTCTGTAGCCAAAGCTGGATTAAAGAGATGAGAATGCAAACAAGCACAATTTTGAGGACTGGAGGGAATAAACCACTATGAAGACAAGCCTGTCTTTTATGTTGCTGCTTGCATTGCTCACACTGCGTTTTCAATTTTAAGGACAACATTCTAGTTAGGACTTGCAAATAAGTATGCAAGTTTCATTACTAATGAAAAGCTCAAAACCAAGAACTATTTATAGAAGCAGCACAGGCTGAACTGCACAAGCTCCTCTGCCAGCCTGCCTAACCAGCTGGATGTGAGGGCTGTTTGTAGAGTGACGGGGCAGTTAGGGCGAGCTGCCCGTCGATTCCTTCATCGGGCTTCTAAAAACACTTAAAATTGCCACAGGGTTTATAGCAACAAGAGGAAAGCAGAAATTGGACCAAGCCCGAGGTAAGCTGAAAGTCAGACTGTTGCTGAGGCCAGTTTCAGCTATGTTTTCCTGTCCTTTTAATCTTACACGCAAAGATCTTGATCTTGCAGCAGACGGACCACTTCAGCAATACTAAATAAAGTCAGACCACACATGTAATAAAACAATACGTCCAGACACATTTAATGCAAGAAGGCTGGTGTTCAATGGCATTCATAAATAAGAGACTTTGACACTTTACAAGTAAAGCTATCAGTTATACTACATCAGCAGGTACTTTTGAGGAAGAGGCAGCTGCAGGGGATCTATTTAAGTTGTATCGAGACTTGAATGACCAAACTGCATCAGAGGGTTGAAGTGAGAATAATTCCATTGTCGGGCTTCAGGATTGCTTTCAGCACTAAGACTGGGCTATAAGGTAGGTTGCTTTGCTCCATTACTACCCCTCAGTTTCTTCCTCTTCTATTACTAAATTTATATAGTGAAACAGAGCTGGGGAGAAGGAGCAGAAATGGGAATCGGAGTAGAGCTTATCTACGTGCTGTCCTGACAAAGCAACCGGGCCCGGGAAGAGGGAGCGCTTCCCCATCCCTGCAGCCCAGGGGTCCCCACTCTTCACTACTCTTCATTACGGATTTAACTCCGCAAGTGCTTGCTGCCAACAGCTCTGACAGTGGTTTCTTTGTAACACAAACAGTTCCCAGTGGCCCCAGCATCAATGGCTGGTTGTTACTGAAATACTAGAATTTTGCTTAATGTATTCAAAAGAAGCAGTGCTAGCCCAAAGTGTTTAAAGAATAGAATAGTTCCACTGCTTAAAACATTCATGCTAACCAGTTTTACAACTGTGAGCAGAGTCCTACCTGATTTAGTTTAGCTTAGTCCACTATGCATTCCCAGAATGGGTGTTCTTTGAATGAATAATGGCTATTTCATAAAACTGACTTACATTATCATGCTTCTAATATTTAATATAAACAAATACACGTCTGCTAGAAACAAGACACTCCACACTATATAACACCATATTACAACTACATATGAATTGCATGTCTGGGTGAAATAGTGAATGTGAAATTCAAAGCAAGTGCCACCATTGGAGTTTCACATTTTGCCCAAAAAAAAACCCAAAGCAAATCCCAAAACTTGTGTTGTGGATACACTCAAATTTAGGAGAATTCTTGCAGGGGAAAATTGCACACAGACCGTTTCTGGGCAAAGTCAGCCTTGAAGGCTCAAGTCTCCCACCAAGCCTTTAAATTTAAAGCTGCTTTTGAGAAGTAATTTGCAGTTATACCTTATTATTAAAAAAAAAAAAAAAAAAAAGTATCGGGAAGAAGAAACAATTAGCTTGCAATATTACCAGAGAGGCTGCTTTGTTTTATTTCAAGTTAAACTGGTGAAACTTCATCCAATACTAAGACGTGACCCTGAAGCCACTCAGCCAGGATCATGGCTTTACTTCCATAGATAAATAAGAATCCTCAAGATGCTCCTCGCACGGAGAAACTTCCATGCTGGGGGGGGGGGGGCTATCCTACATGGCACTGGCACACTTAAATACCCAGGGAGTTACTCCATAGCCACTTTTCTCCATAAACATTTTTTAAAAACCAACACCCAGATATTTAAAGCATGTTACTTCAGTACTGGCTGGAGTGAGCATGTCTGGAAATCTTCCAAGTCACTGCGACTTACTGGCATAAAAATGCCGTTTGAATTAGCTATTAGACCAATTACGGTATTTGCGTTTTCATTTTTATTCACAGCAAAGTAAAGTTCAGAATACTTTGAAGCTGCTGCAATATTTGAAACAGCAGTTAAATTATTAGGTAAAGTTGGAAATAACATAAAACGCAGAACGTCAACAACATGACATTAATATCAAGAAAACTCTTTTGAAAATTCCACCGTCAAGGAAAATTTGTCACTGAGTTTTCAGTTGAACTGTAGAGCAAAAACTGCTGACCTGCACACACGCACACACGTGTGTGCAACACCGGATAAGCTGGAGTGGAACTAATGATATTGTATAGTACTGAAAATAGAAAGTGCGTTCCATAAAAGTAGACTAATGTCTCAAAGTGCTTTTAGTTTGTCAGTGATTAGAAAACATTCTCTACAAGTTTTTACACTTATCTTACAGTGATTTTCAGCAAGTTTACCTATGAGGAAGATTTATGTATTTCTAATTTCAGGAAGTTGGCCATTCAAAACTTTGGTCACCTATCGTGAGACTGTATTGCTCGCTCTGTAGTATAAAATACTCTCTTTAAGGCTACTCGTCTCTCCCACCCAAGCGCACGGCCATCACTGGCTCCTTCGGAGCGGCACTGGTGGGAAGCCGGGACAGGCGCCCAGACAAGCGCTTATGGAAATGGCGGGAGCCAGGTCCCTTCGCTATGGCGCTGCAGCTGTTCCACACACCAGGAGCACCGAATACTCTACAACCGCACCGAAATTTAGCTGCTTAGTCCCCCAAATCAGACAAACTGAAGCCAAATCTCAGTATAACAGTTCATAAGGACACCATGGCTTAGCTTTTAGAGGTGGGGTTTATGTGGGTATGAAGGGGCAAGAGACCCCTCGAGGAAAGCACCACCAGCACAGCACCTTGGTGAGTTGCTGACACCCACCAGCTGATAAAGGAAAAGGATTGCTTGAAGTATTAAGTAAGTCTCCCTCAAAGTCTTACGTCTCCAAAGTGCTTTACAGCCATCCATCCAGGCCTCACAGCCTCTCCATGAGGAATAACGACCAACAGAAGCACTTACAGTGACCAAAAGGCACAGGAAAGCAAGGGCCCGTGCTCCCGAAGCTGCTGCCCCCCGCGGCGGCTCCCTGGAGAAGGGGCGCAGACCTTCGCGGCAGAGCTGCCCCCGCCTCGGCAGGACAGGCGCTGAAAGCCAGGAGCTGTTTTTAAGGCATCGGCATAATTGATTTGCTCAAGGCTGTTGAAGGAGGTGGGGACAGAAGAGGTTAGGATCTATCCTAAACTCTATTTCTATCCCATTGGCCTCACGTTTTTATTTTAATTCCCCTACGTTTAGCTATACACTGGCTTGCTTCCATTATGCACATCTCCCACTTGGTCTCTCCCTACTCCCAAGCATGTTGGATTTAAATCAATTAAAAAAAACAAACTGAAAACAATCTCTCCAGTGGTGATGCTCCTCAAAGAGAACTAAGGATGCTTTTGGCTTTCTTAGAAGACCTATCAGGCTGCAATTTTGAAAATAATACGGGACGGGGGGGGGGGAATTGAAGAAGGAAAACCATGTTTGCTCACGTAACAAGACATCAGCCTGTCCTCTGTAGTAACTATTCTCCATGACAGTCTTTTGAGAAGAGTCCAAGTCCCAGGTTCACTCCCCGCCTCCTCCATCAGTAGTTTCAAGCACTGTGTTTGCTGGCCAGGTTGGGACCGTCCCTGGTGCCCGCCGAGAAGGAGATGAGCAGCCCAGGCGCCTTCTCACCCTTTCCCAGCCGGACAAAGGCGGCGGAGCAGCCCTGCGGACAAGGCTATCAGTGGCCGCTCTGGTAGGCGTAGGAGATGGGCTGCCGCGCCCCAGGCCTGACTGTGAAGGTGTTGCTGGGTCCGCCAAACTGCGAGCTGCCGTGGGCAGGTCTGGAGGGAAAACAGAGTGGAGAATCACTGAAAGCCAAGGAAACCCTTTGTTTTTATTCAATATTGCAATTATATATTTGACTTTTTTTATAGCGGAGCAAGGTGAATTTTGTTGCCTCGCATCTGCGTTCAGGGAGGCACAGGGAGGAGCGGGCGATGGGTGCCAGGGTTATGGCTGGGACCGGGGAGGAGCCATGCCACTGCCATGGCCAGGAGCGAGCACAGCCAAGGCACTGCACAAGCCAAGGGGCAACGACTCCTCTAGGGCCTCTGCACTGCTCTGGGGCCAGCCCAGGGCCCAGCCCTCCTCTCCTTCAAATCAAAGGGACACACAGGACAGGGAAGGGGTCAGCTCAGGGGAGACATGTACCTGCTGGCTGCCACCACACTGGTGGGCAAGAAATCCCCATTCTGCCCCTTATACTTGGCGTCAGCCCCGGCACTGCCGTACGGCGTGGCTTTCCCAGCAGCATCGATGGATGTCCGCCTGCCCTGCGTGCTCGTGGGGCCGTTCCTGTGGGCAGAGCCGAGGCGGCGGACCCCCTCCCCGGCCGGGGAGCTGTACCCCCCGGGGCCGTAGGAGGAGAGGGCACCTGTGCCCCGGGGCACTGCGGCTGCCCGGGGGTAGGAGCTGTCGGGCTCAGAGACGTACAGGCGCTTCTTGATCAGCGGGCGGGGGTTCGGGCAGCGGCTGAAGTAACCGGCGGAGCTGCTGTAGTCTGGGTACTGGGGCGTGAAATCGCCGTTCCTCCTGTTCTTCTCTGAGGGCAGCGGGGCTGGCATCTCATGGCTGACCCCGTAGACACGGCTATAGCCAGGCCACCTGAAATACCGCGGTGCCTCCGAGCCCCGGCTGCTGTCAGGGAAGCTGGGGCACTTGCGGTTCTCCTCCTGACTTGGGAGGGGCCCCTCGGCCTTGTCCACCTCGTTGCTGAACTCCGGGGGCGGGGGGATAATTCCGTAGTCCAGCGCTGTCTCCCCATTCTCCTCCTCCCTGGGTATGCCATGGCCAGGCGGGCCAGGCTGGTTCGGCTGCCCGGACTCGAGGAGGCCCCGAGCGGGCGGGGGGCGGGGGCCCGCCGGTGCCCGGGGAGGCTCTGGGGCTGAGCCTCACCCACTGCCCGCACGTCCCGGCCCTGCTCCGAGGAGCTGGAGAAGGACGGTTTGCTCCGTCCTGACCCCGCTGTACTCGCCACGGGCGGCCGGGGCACCACGGTGAAGGAGTAGGGCTTGGACTCATGGCGGTAGAAGGTGGTGGAGACGGTGTCTGATGAAGCACTGCCAAGTTTCAGGGGCGGCTTCGCCCGCGGCGCGGCTCCCACCTCACCACCCTGCCGGCCCCGCTGGGCACGCTGCCGGGCTGCCAGGAGCAGCGCCATGGGGGAGCCCCGCTCCACCCGCTCGCCCGTCACTGGGTGGATCAGCACCTCCTCTTGCCCCGCTCCTGAGGTGCCTGGCGGGCTCTTGACCAAGCTTGTGGGGCAGGGTGGTTCGGCTGAGCTCGAGGCGCAGGGTGGTTCGGCTGAGCTGGCCCCAGCCCGGTGCACTTTGTACTGGAAGATGGCTGTGTTGGGCTGTGGTGCTGGGCTCTGTGCGGGAGAAATGGGGGGTGAGGGGGAAGTGGGAGCAGGGGGCTCCTCCGCCGGTCCCCGAGGTGGGTCTGGGGGGCTCACGCCGCTGTCAAGGGACCCGGGAGCAGGGGTCAAGTTCTCTGTGGCCTTGCTAGCAGCAGGAGCGGGATGGTCCTTGTGCCCCATCTCATCCTTCTCCACGGCAGCTGCTGGTGCTGGGAGCGGGCTTGGAGCCAGTTTTGGCAGCACTGAGTCACCCGGGTCAGGGGGGCTCTTCCTCAGGTCAGGGGGGCTCTTTCTCACACGTGGGGTGCTGCCGCCATCCTCAGTGCCCTGCTTCTGGCTGCCAAGCCCCAGGGCAGGTTTCCCTTCTTTCTTCAGGGACAGCACAGCCTCCAGCTCGTTCCTGATTGTCATCACGCTGCGGGTCTGCGCAGCAGGGTTGCTCTCTGGAGCAGGGAGCGCTGTGCTGGGAGAGCCCCCCTTGGCACTGGGGGAGGCGCTGGGCACCTCTTTCTTCTCGCTCTCCCCTCCCATGGGTAACCGTGCATCCTTCCCGGGTAACTGCACATCCTTCCCAGCAGGTCCGGCGAGTTGGGGCCCATTGAGACTGGGCCCACGGCTGCCAGCATGGTCAGTATCACCGCCTGCGGGCCGGGGAGCAGCTGGCTTCTCCAGCGGCCTCTCCTCCCTCCGTGGGGAGCACAGGAGGGCCGAGAGCTCATGCCGCAGCCTGCTCAGGTTGCTGGCATCCCTCCAGTCATCCTCGCAGGTCGGGTAGTCCGGAGGGGGGAGGTCTAGGTCATTTGCAGAGAGAGATTCGGATTTTGGAGAAGAGTCTCTCTCAGCTGTTTTCAGCTGGGGAACCTTCTCCATCTCGGAGCCTGGCAGCGGGGATCGGCGACCAGCAGGATTCGTCCCTTGGCTGAGCCCTGGACCTGGCTTGGGGCTCAGTGGTGGGGGAGTCGGCACAGCCGGCTTCAGGACAGCCTGTCTCAGCGGGGAATTTCTTTGCTCGGGTTCTCCTCCTGCGTGAGCCTTGGCCGCGGGTCTTATGGTGAAGCAGGGTGGGAGGGGAGGCCGGGCGTGAGGCTGCTTGGCGAAGGGCTCCTGCCGAATGGGCTGGCTCTCCTGCATGGGGATGGAGGAGGACCGGGCTGGAGCTGGTGGGGGCACCTTGAAGGACCTGGGGAAGGTGAGGTGGGGCTCGGGGCAGTGCTTGGGCTGCAGGCTCTCCTTCGGGCCAGGGGCAGCCGGCACCCCAGCCTCAGCAGGGCAGAGTGGCCCCTCGGCATCCACCTGCCTCGTGTTCAGCACCGTCTCGGACTTCCACTTGGAGATGCCGGTGGTGAAAGGTGCCGGGGCCCGGCTGAGCGGCGAGGCACCTGGCGGGACACCTGGAGGGGCTGGTGGGATGAAGTCTGGAGGAGCCGGTGTGCCAGGGGAGGACAGGGCAGAGGCTGGAGGTGGCGGAGGTGCCATGGCAGGAGGTGGCGGCACCATCTCAGGTGGTGGCGGTGGTGGTGGTGGAGGCAGCATTTCAGGTGGTGGAGGGACCGGCGAGGCTGGAGGTGGTGGCACAGGTGCGGGTGCCGGTGCCGTTGGAGGGGGTGGTGGGGGTACCGATGGCGGTGGAGGGATGTCTTCATCCAGGTCATCCCCCTCGAGAGCCTGTGGGCGCAGGTCCCCCACCGAGCTGTACATTCGGTAGTTCCCATTGACCTGGGAGCTGGAGCCTGCAAGGAAGAGCGAAAGCACAGCAGTGTGAGCACCTTTGCAGTCAGCACTGTGATGGCTCGCATCGCCCCGGCCAGCTGTCCTCCTAGGAAGCCTGTTTATTTTCCTCAGCAGCTGTCTAAAGCTTGCTGAACTGTAACAGCCACTATGCCTCACCCCTTAGAAATTAATTCATTTTCAATGACTTAAAAAAAAATATTAATAGTAGACTCTATTTTAACATGAAAAAAATCTCATGATCAGACTGTCCGCTCCAGAGCTTGATAGACACACGCTTCCTTCCCCGCGGGCACGGTACTGCTGAGCACTTAGCGCCAGTCAAGGGCTCAGCAGAGAAGATCCCTTACCAAGAGCTGCTTTTTCCTCAAAGTCTTCTGGCACCGAGGGTGTTGGCACAGCCACCCCATGGGGTTCTTGGGCATTCTGCAATAGTGGACAAAACGGAGCTGGTTTAGTTTTACGCCCAGGGTATCAGAGCAAAGTGCTGACAAGCAGGCCCTAGCCTGTATAGCTGGTAATTCGTCCATGCCAACAGGGGCCTGCTGGGATCCAGGGCCATTTCCGAGACATGGAGGTCCCTGTGGTAGCTGCTGTTGACAGGCTTTAAGGGGACGAGTGAAGTGATCGAGGTGGCACAAGCCATGGACACAATTCCCCTGCACTTGCCAGGTGCAGAGGGGCTGGAGAGGAGCACGGCTCTTTCACATCCAAGCTTAGGGCTCCCCAGCCCAAGACCAGCAGCACTAGTTTCTCACCATTCACGTACCACTCAAATTTAATAGCTCCCACTGGTTTTGTGGGTATTGCTCTCCAGCAAGCACTGCCAGCCCACGCTGCAGTCACGTACACACCGCGCTGAACTCACAGACAGACCTCCAGCTTTTTGGGAAACTGGCACCAGCATATCTGAACACTCTGGGGAAAACTGCTACTTGTGTGGTTTGTGTTTCATTCTCAATTACTCCCTTTACATTCATGCTGAGAACTCGGCAGTGCATTTAGCTGGTACAGGACCATGCAATTTAGCAGCCTACACGTTTGCGAGGATGCTTACAGCCAGGGCACTTTGGATAATTACAGCCACCCACTGTGAGATATTCACGGCACGTTGACTCACCTGGAGGCTGACCAGGGCTCCTGCCTCACGCGCCTGCCAGAAGCAGAAAGCCTCTCCTTTCCCGAGTGACTCACTGCTACCATCGCTCTGCAGAGGGACTGGAGCTGCTCGTGAAACGTACGCTAATGCACCCACGGCCGAAACACAAACGGATGCTGAATCAGGCCGTCAGCACAGATGTAAGCAACTGAAGCAGCAGACTGGGCTTTCACATACCAGCCTTGGGAGAGACCCGTAGCAAGGAAATAACGCTCCTTGAGCCGCAGGAGCTCACAAACCCATGGGCAGTGGTCAGGGACATACATCCCTGTTCCCAGGCTCCAGGGTCCACCCTGTTGCGCTCCTACTCACCCCAGGCAGCTGTTTGCATTACCTGTTAACAGCCCCTTGTGCAAAGGAAAGGTTATCCCACCATCAGCCTGCACCGCTCAGCGAAGTGGTTCTCTGCATACAAAAGCCTAGTCAATGACTGAGCCCATGTCCTTTGCCTTTCACTGGCATTATCGCTATTTTTACAAGAGATTGCGATAGGATTCCAAAGTCTTCTTGATCAAAGGTCAAGCTGGTTTATACAGCCAGCCCCATCCCGGGCTCAGACAGCACATTAACACTGCACGCTGCCTCGGGTGGCGGGGTTCAGGAACGTAGGAGCTGCTGGGGCAGAGCCGACTTTAACAGCAGCAGCCTGGGCTCCTTCACAAGAGCCCTGAAATCCCCCAGCTTTTGACAAAATAATAAGAAAATACCCACGCTTTGCTTGCAAAGTCCATCACCCTGCAGATGACCAAAGATCCTCTATAACCACAAGGGAATGAGCCAGTTACTGGTGAGCCACGAGAGAGTGAGTGGGAATTCACATTCCTGGGACTGCACACCTGATCAGACAACTTGGTGCTGACCGAGAAGCCAAGGTCTGCTAAGGCATTAGGACAGATCTGTTAGTGGCAAAACATCAGATTAGGTGAGCCTTATAGCCTCATCTAAGGCTTCTCTACTGGTCCCAAAGATACAGTACAACACAGAGGAAAGATCCTTAACTTCAGCTGAAAGCCAGAGGGAAGACAAAGGCTAACGGAGGCACTTCACCAGCCCATAATGAAACTGTCCGGAGCAATGAGATACCAAAAAACACAAAGAAAAAAAACCCAGCAGTTCCCATTCGCTATGGAAATTCACTGCTGCCAGTCTCCAGAGCACACTGAGGATACCTGCTCATTTACGGGGAAACAAAGATGTCTGGGCACTGAATTAAAAGCAACATACGCATCACATGTTTGGGCAGGAATAGAAAGGGAATGGCAGTCGGAAGAGATCTATGCAAAGCCGGAGGAAACAGAGTCCACATTTCATAAACGAGTAGTAATTTTGGACATGTCATTTCAACAGGTCCTAAAAACTGGGCAAGCCTGTTTCACATCAAAAATTTTTGTTGCAGTTGCTAATGCTCAGCATCTCTCTCAAAAACCACCCATCCTCACGTCATGAGCTGGCCTCTAAAATGGAAAGCATCTCCAGTACGCTGCCAGTCTCCAGAGATGACTAGAAAGATTGTTTCCCTCTCCGGTGTTTGCTAGGGGTGTGCCCAGCCCAGCAAACCTCCAGCTGATTCAGAGCAGGCTGCTGCGCTCGGGGCGGTGCGCCAGGAACCGGCATTTCCAGTTTGTGGTACCTGAATCGGATTTGTGTGTGCCAAGGATCCCGCTGAGGCGAGCTTTCACTGTAACCACCAGGAATCGCTCTTCAGCGCTGGAACAGAGTGAGATACCCCCTGTCCCCAGCGAAGGGGAGCCTGCCTGTCCTCATGGTCCCCAGCTCCCCTGGTCTCTCGGGAGCCCACGTTTCCCACCCATGAAATGAAGTAGGTTTAAGGCTGCATGTTACAAAAAATGCACCAAAATAAAACTGCTTAGCATCCTGGGGTCTCAGAGAGGCCAAGGATTTCTCCAAATATGAAAAGCTACCCCCAAACTCCTTGTTTTGAAGCAGAGCTAGAGAAGTTTGGTGGTTAACTAAAGGAATTTATTCCCCCAGGATGCCAAAGCTCTGCCCGCACCGGCAGCACCTGGGAAGCCGGGTGGGCCGGGGGATGTGGTGGTGCCCAGGAGGCAGGCAGTGAAGCCCCCTCTCCTGCAATCCCTGCTGCAACTCGGCTCGCTTGGCAGCACAGCCGAGGGCCAGGGGCTCGGGGGGAAGGAAGCTGCTCGGTGCCAGGAGAGCTGCCAAGCGCACAGGCACACGAAGCCCGGCGGGCCCGGCTGCCGGGCAGGGTGTGTGCACCCTCCTGACTCACAGCCAGGCAGGCAGCTGCTTCTCAGCCTCCCCCTGCCCCGAGCAGGAGAGCGGGTGGGTGGAAAGAAAGGGTTAAGGTTGGAGCTGCAGAAGAGCCCAGTGCAAGTATGTATGTGGCAGCAGGAGCGTCTGTGCCAAATGAAATCGTAATCAAATCTAATCAAAATAATGCAAATATCCAAAACAGACTGGTCCTTAAAAAACGTTGCTTATTCCTACTAAATCCTTCAGTTAAACCTGTTACTCTTGGAAGAGAGGCACAGTGAGAGGGACCCTCACAAGGGCAATTGAGGGGAAAAAAGCCCCAGAGCCAGCTGTGCCTCTGCGGGCAGCAGGAAAGCACCATGGCTGGGGTGACAGCCCTTAGTATTTATCCCAGGGACATTTGTGCTGTTTATTCCTCCACCACATACACTTCCACTAGTAAAGCATTTGAAAGCTCTAAAAAGATGCAAAAGGCCAGTTGCACTCTAAAAACCTGGCAATATGGAGTGCCAGCTATGGTCGCACGCCCAAGCCTGTACTACGGAGAGGAGTTGCTCAGGCACCAGTCCTACCGTTACTCGACTCAGAGCCCAGGCGAGATTTTTCATCCAGTTGTGATCTTTTGGAAGGCATCACAGAGGGCACAACCCCTTTGTAGAACCTGTGTAACCCCATAACTTCCTAATTATGCTCTCAAATAGATAAATAAACTCCCTCCCGCCCCCAGTTGTCCTCCAAGTGACACCCGACAACCCCATTAACTCCTAATGGCACCCAGGTGACAGCAGACCAGCCCATTTTCTGCTGAAGGTGACTGCTGCTCCAAAGGATGAGGATGTACGAGGAAAAACATCCCTTGCTCTCAGAGAGGATGTCCTTGTCGAGACCAAGGGCTTTTAAGTGCTTCACTGTCTTAAGTGACCTTCAGTGACCTGCATGTAGCACTTCAGATTTGGCTATTGCCATCTCCAAAATACCTCTGAGCAATCACGCGCTTCGCTGTACTCTTTTGGGGATAAGACCTTTGGAAAAGTGCATTACATGGGGGAGGAAAGCTTGCTCAGGACACGCAGCATTGGAGCATCGAAGCCAGCAGTGGCCATGTATGGCTTCTGGGGGCAGCAGGGGCGTCCCAGCTGGGTTAAAGCCACCTCTGGGTCCAGCTGCGTTGGCACTTGCTGCTCCAGCAGCGGTAGCTCTGCAGGGAATGGTTTTCCTCATACAGAGATTGGAAAATCAGCCTCTGCCCAGACACCTGCTGCATTGCCTCCCCATTCCTCCGCTGTAAACAGGACGCAGTTTTGCTATTGCTCTCTCCGGCAACATGCCCGATCCAGAGAGAGATACTGCCAGTAGCGGTTAGATGAAATGCAGTGCAAGCCAGATCTATCATCTACATGCTCAGCAATTTTTTTTTTTAATTGAAAATACAAGTCTGATGAGGCTTACGTCTCTCGCCTGAGTATCTTGCCTATGTCCAACACAAGCCTTGAACTCAGATCACCTCCTAATCCCTCGTATCCAGCTTCATTACAGAGTGGCTTTGCTTCTCATTTCTTTTCTTCCCTCGGGTAGAGGATGAGAGCAGCAGCCAGCCCAGCTGGTTCTGGGCACTGGTTACACGCACTGCTGTAAGGAATCCCAGCGGCGAGCTGGATACTCACAAGGGGTAGGAAAGTCAGCAGCGGCCGGACTCTCGGACGAGGTTTAAGCGTTGCTGTGCCTGAGTCAGTCACTGTCCCAAAGCGATTGTCACCATAGTACACTTCAATCACATCACCTGAGGGGAAGAGAAGACTGTTAGCAGCAGCACCGCATTCGAGGTAACAGGAAAAACAACACTGGATACCACCTAATTTTAAAAGGCACTGTGAAGAATTTGCTGTATCAGCTCCCAGGAATGAGCAAAACCCATCGGATTCTGAGGAGTATCTGGGTGTTTTGGAGCTAAGTTGAAGATGGGAGGAGAAAGGTCCCAGGTGAGCGGGACCCCCGGGCAGGCACTGGCAGCCCTGCCACACACCCACAAGGTGCAGAGTCCCTTCCCAGAGCTCCAGATGCTGGAGTTTAAAGAGCACAGATGTCAAGTTTATTCCGAAAGGCTTATTTCTAATAGTAGCTAACTTAAATTTACCTCAGGAGGGTCAAAAGTTAGCATAAGCGCTCAATGCACTCCCCACCCACATTACGTTTAGGGAAGGAAAATGCTTCAGGAGCAACGGGATCAGCTCTTTACAGCACCACGAGGCTCCAACCCCCAGGAGAGCAGGAGGTGGGCCCAGGGCCCACAGAGGTGACACAAGCCAGCTCGTAAGCACGGGCAGGATCCAATCTTGGCCTATCCGTCAGCGGCTGGAGTGGCGGGGGGAGGCAGCAGCAGAGCCTAACCACCAACCACGCCGACTGCAGAGAGCGAGCTACTGCCCTTCCTCGCCCGTCGACCGCTCCATGGACAGAGCAGTTGCATCAAAGTGCAGAGTTAATTACAGGTTCTTCACTCAGCCCTATCACGACTACAGGTCCCCGTCATTTATGCAGCGGAGAGGGACAGCGGAGGCGTCCCTGACCCCGGCTGCCCGCTGGCAGCGGCTCCGTCCCTTGGGATTCGCACCGTCCCTTGGGATTCGCGCTGGCTTGTGCCAAGCAGGACCGGGGCGAGCGGAGGGGAACGCCTCGCTGCGCCACTCGGCCACAGCGATGGAAACGGGACACGCAGGGGCTTCCCAAGGAGGTTTTTCCCCTTCCGTGTTTTGCTGCCAGCAGCTGAGGGCAGCGGCAGGGAGGTGCCACAGCTGCTCTCCCTGCTGTGGACGGCCACCACCAGCGCCCGCAGCATCCTTCTGCACACTGCTGGAGCAATTTGTTTCTGACCCCTGATGCAGTTGGCACTGGAGGACAAGTCGTGCTTGCCACAACACTTCCACGCTTCAGCCTGCCTTACGGAGAAACGCTCTGAATGTCTTCCCACGAAATACCACCACGAATGGAGACGCTACGGCAGAAGGCAGTCCCAGAGCCCTGGTGGTACAAGCAGGAGAAGCCGTCAGGTACTCCTGGTTCCCAGCCCTGTGCTTTTACCTTGAACCACACCTTTTGGGCCGGTTTATTTCTGACAGTGAATAAAGCCCATAAAATTAGTTTAATTACGTTCTTTGTGTCTGATTAACAGCATGAATTAACAAGCAGAAGCACTGAAGCATGTAAGCCCCACCTTGGCTGGAAGGAGATACACAAATAACTTGTAGCCAAGGAGATCAACATTAAAGAAAATATGAGGGTTTCGACGAAGGAGGGGGAAAGTGAGCAAAACGGCTGTGATCAGAGAGAAAACTGCAGGAGTGTTCCCACCGAAGAGATTTCGATAGTGGTTTCAGTGAGAAGGAAGAAGCAAACAACCTCCCCCTCCGCACCAAAACACAAACACCAAGAAGTAAATGACGCTTTTTTTTCCCCCCCCTCCCAAAAAAAGTTTGGAAGCAGTCCTCAAACCCGACCCCGCGCTAAAGCGTGAAGCACAGAAACAGTTTCTGTCAAGTATCGCACAGCCATTAAAAGCCAAGGAGCAGAAAGGTGAAGGCTGTGTAAGCTCCACACACAGGCAAAGGGGCTGGGCTGCATTTCTAAGCCTCCGAAACCCACGGGCAGCAGTTGCTGAAGCGGGACTGCCCGCCCGAGGAGCCCGCTGCACCCCGGAGTCCCTGACCGAGACTGTGCAAGCAACCGGCCGCTGCCACAACCCCAGCCAGCATCCCCGCTGCCTCTCGAGCGTCCCCGCTCCCGCACGGCCCCTCGCTGGCCCGAGGCACAGCCCGTGCCCTCCGTACGCTGCTGGACTCAGCCCGTGCGGGTGGAACCGATGACCGGGGTCCCCAGCCCATCACAGACTGCCATGGCATCTAGCTGTGGTTGTCACTAAGTCTCGGCCCTACTTGGACAGGCAGAGATGAGGCAAGAAGATCCCAAGGAAACAGAGCTTTACACGGGTTTAGTGAAGGAAAAAAAAAAAAAAAGAGGAGGGCAAATGCTTGTGCGTGTATTCCCAGAGAATAAAAGCACTTGCATGAACACCTGGAATGAAGAACCTGACCACGCCAGGGGCTGGGCAGGAGCTACCACAGCCTCTGCTGAAGTTATGGGTTTGGAGGCAGATGAATTCCGCATAACCTTGAGACATGCCACTGAGTCCAGCAAGCATGTAAGCTTTTCCTTTCTCCCACCCACTCCACCACAAGTTACCCTGGGATACACCCAGGAGCATCCATCATCCTATCACCGTCCTTACGGTCAGTCACGACTTCCTTTCCCTTATCCCAAACTTCTGCCACTACAAGGGAATTTTTACAAAAAGGACATTTTCTTCAGCCTTCAAAATACTAATCAGCCTGCACTCCAGTTAGCGAGGTCTTACCACCAGCTTAACACTTCCCCGCCTGTCAGGGGCCCAAGCGCAAAGGAGGAGCTGCTGCAGTCCCGAGGACGGCAGAGATGCCAGCAATTTATTATCATTTTCACATAACCCCTTGGGTGACCCCACATTCAGCGAGTAAGCAGCAAGAACTAAGGCCAGTGCAACATGAGAGTTTGGATTCAGGCAGCTTTGTGGAACAGCGATAGAGTCGTTCAGAGACTTGAAGCGATGACAGTTTTATATTAAACAAGACACTAGGTAAACTCAGTGAGAAACTGGATTAAAGATCACAAGGTCTTTGATCCTAGATTACTAAGCATCGCTAACCTGAATGCATTTAATTAAAGTAAAATGAAGTGCTTGTAGTTGTGTTTTCTTTGCTAGATAAACAGGACTTGCCTGCTAAGAGCCTGTCACCAGTAAGACCTGTGCTCCGCCAGCTTCGTTTCCTGGAAGGAGGGATCAGGAAACGCCTTCGGAGGCTGTCAGAAGCGGCTGGCCCCAACTACGCTTTGGCCACTTTTTGACATTCAACCCATTCTGGAGACGTTTGTGTCCTCTCAGTCATGGGAAATAAAATAAGCAATCATCTGCCACACAGGTAATGGCACTTCTTCCTACTTCGGGGTTGCATCACCTGGAGTAGGCGTAGCAGGTTTGACGCCGGGGTATCCACAGCTCACAGCGAGGAGGCGGCATCAGTCACTGCGTTCAGGAATCTCTGAGTCAGCGCCACGCAAACCTACACCCATTCCACATTGCTTAACTTGTGTTTACTTTGTATGAAAAACTAAGGTGGGGATCAGCAGAAGCAGTGGACTCCTTTTGGCAGCAGCGATGGCATGAAGCTACGCAGCAAATATTCAAGAAACAGGGCCAGGGATGGGGCTTCACTGGGTAAGAGCGTGGCACTGTGGAAGTCAGGATACAACAGAATCTGCCCCTTGGATTGCTTGGCTGTGGGAGCAGGCCGTTCCTCGCGACGAGCCCACACCTCAGCACACGTTAGTCCGAACATGGTCACTCAGCTTCTGTGTGTCACGCTACTCTACACAAATTAATGAGATAAATGCCAAGAGGATGCTAAGGAGTGATTCAACAGCCTTTATTTACGCTCAGATTTCAAGGACTCCTGGCTTTTACTTTGCAAGCTGATCCACGCAGCAGTTCCCCACCTGAAAGGAATGCCTTTGTGCTGCAATTGCAGCCACGGAAATCAGGCTTGTAATAAGCAGACACAGCGACTTTTTTTTTTTTTTTTTTAAATCCAAACCACATCAGAGGGAGGCTTGAATCCTCCTCGGATTTACGACAGTTAGAAATCAGCAATTTTCCTTTTGTGTTCAAGAGTTGCACGAAACTCTCCATCACATTTTCATTTTATCTTAGTTTCAGCAGCTTGGCCTTCAGGGTGTAGCCACCTTGCAATAACTTTAATGGACACCGCTTCACATCGCACAGCTCAGCAAGCGGCGCTTCCATTTCTAAGCTTGGAAGTGTTTATTGGAATCTTACAGCCACCAAACTTCATCCACAAACTGCTATCTTTTATCTACCTGGCTCCATTACTGTTAATTTGGCTCCCTCCTACATGAGCCTCCAGGGCACAGTATTGCAATTAAAACCACAAAGAAATACAAATAAATCCTGGGGAATATGCAACCCTGGACTCCCCCCTCGCACACAGCCCTTCAAGAAACAGGTTTACAAGTAAATAACGAAAACCTGGGAAGGAGCAGATCAAACATGGCGTGGGAAAGAGCTACTGGGAGCAATAAAACAGGTTCTCGACTATTTAGCAGCCTGCTTTACTCCAGTTCAGCTCCCCGCAGCGGACTCTGGCCCCGCCGGTGCGGAGCCTTCGCG